CTATGCCTTACGTGCGATCCAGATGCATACGATTTGATAACGTAAATAAAGAGAGCACAAAAAGCTCTTTGCTACTCATGTTCCAAACCTCATTGACCTGTGCTCTGAGAATTTGAACAAACAGCTTCATTAATATAGTCAACGATATGCCACCATATATATCAGCTGCCACAATATTCCTCTCGTAGGACTCCCGTGAACCCAGTCGATGGAGCTTTGGCCCATGAATTTCCCGGGTGCTTTGTGACAACATAAACCGTTCCAAACATACTGTTGCTGATTAAATCTCTTCGAAACAACTAATCCAGACTCTTGCTAAGATACAAAATACGTACATTTTGATGGTAAAACCCGAAAAACATTGTACTGTGAGAGGAATGCCCCGGCAGGAATGTTCTGCCAAACAACTCCACTCAGAAGGAGCATGGCTCTCTGAATTTGGGACCGGCAATCGTGAGAGAGGTCCGAGACTGTTGGGCGTATACGGTCCGATTGACGAAAGACCTTGGTGTGGCACGATCGACCGCGCACTCTCCAGAGCACATGTGTAGCCAGTGTAATCAGGGTGAGCCCGTTACATTCCATTGACACCAAAATGGGACAACGTGAATCCTATCTGATCAATGATGTTTTTAATATATACTTGCCTGAGTAATTATTAAAGGATAACTACTGTCGAAGGAAATTTTAGGCCTGCTCTGCATATTGGGGGATACAAAACATTATGTTACCCAAACAAATCACCAATTGCTGCTAGACGCGCGCAATGAGTAGTGAGCACTTAGCCAGGTGACGAACTTGTTGTTACATATTGCTCAAGTAAGACAGAAGAGGTATATTCTAGAGAATTAAATATCGATAATATACAGTTCATTCTCCTCTTTTAGTTAGCGAGTTCGTTCAGTGGACTTATCTTCCTTTGCATGCACGTACATTGTACGCAAATTTCGAGGAACCTGCCTACGCTGTGTCGGTGAATGTAGATTGTAATGTGTCGTTACAAGCATCGGTGCCTCATCCAGTTGCATTGCATGACGTACTACGAGTTTAGCTCGATACTCAAACATGAGCACGTAAGGTCCATCATGTGGTTCAAGATCTAGTATCTAAGTGAGGCGCCTGACGCGTATAGTCATACTATTTTAGCGGTAACAAGAAGACGCGCTAGGATGTCGAAATGATAGTGTGCGCGACACTGATACTGCATCGCCCTACCTATTCACCACTTTGTAGCATTATGTTGTTCTGGCTTTTCGTTTATTGGCATTCAGCTTCAAAATGACAGACTAACACCCGGGCGTGTACCACATCGAGGTAAACGAAAGTCGTTCGAGCACTTTTGAGCGCTCACGCCGCATGATGTCTGCGAAGCAATCTGTACGATAGGCATGCATTTTTTCAATTTGGAGCAACACAGTGGCGGATGTGCGGACGTGCACTTCCACAACGTGTGGAGAGGCAGCTAGTAGAACCCGATTGTGTCACAGCAAGTTCGAAAACAACAGTACCGGCAATCTTTGCACGACCTTCTTCGTCGTAATGCTCGTTTTAGTTGGCCTTGTCACACGAACGTGTCACGATATAGTTTACGCAGGCGAAGCTAGTCGATCTCCTTGTCAGAGATAGACTTAAGCTCAATGAGCGCATACTTCTTTGTCAAGATCTCGACTCGAAGAGTCCCCTAGTTCAACGAAAAACGACACTCGTAGTCAACTGCTCTAAAAGTCAGCTTATTCGAGAACTCTAGAAACACAAACTTCTAGATCCAACAAGCCCACATAGCAACGATGTAAGGAATCAACAGCACAAGGTGCTATCGAGTCCGCCGTGATCAGGTACCTTATGTCTGATAGCTTTATGAGCAAACTGACGTTTTAATAAAATTATGTAACGACGAAAAATCATGTTTAAGTACCACACGTGAGGTTCGCCTCCGTACCGAAGCAAAGCCTCATCAGTATCTTTTTCGGGCCACTGACACACGGCAGCCCCCATTAGCATACTTAGTCCAACACTGATTTATGTACCCGGTGTACCCCACCGGTGTACCCATATAATGCTGCGGCTGTACCATCTAGTGTACCTTTGTTACAGCTGAAGCCTGCGTCACAGCGGGTTCTTCGTTTGCCTGTCGTCATCAGACGTAACGGTTCTTGTACTCCACATATACACATTGACGTGTCTTCGACGGGTACTACACCCTTCACCCGCCGCATTTGTACTTGTTTGCTAATCATAAGAGATGTCCTTTGGTGAAGCGAGAGCACAGGGAGTAAAGCTTTATTTACTGCGTCAATCGAGTTTGAGGTGGCACCTGCGAACGGACAATCTCGGCAGCTGAATGCGTATGCGGCAACATCTGTTAGTCGCAACAAGAAGTGAACAGCACCTGTAGTCGCGAACATACTTCCTCGCAGATCGAGAATGAAGCCCATTTAGTATAAAGTACGGGACCAACCAAGGCTGATGCTTTTATGCGTACATGTATTGCAACGGCTTGAAAAAAATGTACGCCATCATTTGAGTGCTGTAACATGCAACGATGCACAGGGCTGGTCATTGCGAGAAGCCATTAGGTACTTCTTCGGCGTACGTTCTTGCGTTTGTGTATACGCAAATGGTGTTACCACTATCAAAGCACCGCGCAATAGATTTCGTGGTATGCAACTTGTAAAGGAATACTGATCGGTGGATAGTTTTTGCGTCCAGAGTATACGTCACACTTGCTGTCCATGGATATCGTTGTAAGTCATGGAACTTAGTGCTGCTTCACTAAGGGCGTAAAGCGAGGAACCGGAGATTGAAGGAAGCATCCGCTTTTTGCACGGGAACAGGGAGGTCGGACCATACTGAACGTTCGCGTTTCTGATTCAGAAAGTGTTACTAATGTACATGCTGCTGCTATCGGGATACATGCTAGTGTAATGGTGCTTGCTGATACCAAGAAGAAGACATCTTTGTAGCTTAGAGCTTTTTGGCAAGTGCGGGCGCAAACGTTCGGCGGACAATCGCCGAGCATAGGTATGTCGAATTCGACTGCGACGACATTTTATAGGCAAACTTTCGGAATGCTGTCATGCGATGGCAAAATCACACAAGATTTTCTACGCCTCTTACTGCAGTGAGCGACTTACATGGACAGCGTTGGTGGGCAGTGTAAATTGCATATTGTTCCAGGGCTGCGAGTAGCTCGCGAACGTGACGTTGCTGTAGTGGATGCCGCGGGGGGTGGCAGGTAAAGTTGAACGCGCAGATAGCACTATACGTTTTCTCTTAACAACAAAAGGTGTCGGCAACTCGGTCTAATCAATCCATTCAGCCATGATGCGACGTGTCACCAATATTGACGGCGCGCTTTAAGTGTAAGCTGTGCGGATTGTACACACACATGTACAGCCTAACTTCTGCGTGACATTATTGATGTGAGGTTACGATTGCAGGTGCATCAAACGCAGAATGGAACAGATGTGTTGTCCGCGCGTCAAATTACGTGACGCTTTGCTCAGGATTAAGATGTGGCAACAATATTTCGCGGCGTAAAGTGAGGATGCTGACGATCAGTAAATCAAGAAGTGGCGCGTGGGAACCAAGCTCTGATTGCAACACGGTGTACACACTGGATTACAATGGTCCAGGGTATCGTACAAGACACCCCGGCTTTTTTCTTCGAATTGAGCTACACAGTCAACCGTTTGTTGCTTCATTCTGTACGTACCGTCTATCTTCACGCTCTGTAGGATCACGTCTTACAAGACGTGTGCCTCACCTCTTTGCGTCACAAGCTGATCGGACAAGACCGCCATTGTTTTATCAAGGACCGTTGCTGGTAACATGGTGTGGTCGCTATGACGACGTGACTTGGACTTAGTCGTTCAGCATTCCCATTCAGGTAATTCGACCGCTATATGAAAGCCAACCTCGACACCTGTCATCATAATCTGCAAGTCATGAGCTCCTAACTACCTGTCAAGCGTGAATTTGGCAGGCCTCAAGACCACGAGACCGAAGTACACGTCCTAGCAGACCGTATCCTAAACGCGTGACCCGACTGTAAAACCTGCTTCGACGAGCTTGTCTATGATGGATCATATTGTCATATTCTTTCCAGTAGCACGCAAGAGAATTGCCCACAACACACGAGAGTGCAAAACATAGGAAGGCTGGCCTAGCTATTGTAGCGCAAGGAGCTCGTTCCAGAATGACTTCCGACGTCGTTTACGCGCACGGTGTGCAATCCCGCTCCAGAATGGTTGCGGACCGACCGTATGGGAGCACGTTGTGCAATCCATCGAGTTTAGTCCCAGTTAAAATCGAGAATGCATGGAATCCAGAAGGCTTAGAGTAGCAGCTTGCGTGTGAACAGAGGACCTAATGCAATCACATTTGTATTCTCCGTCAAGGCATTACATCCCAGGCACCACAGCTATGGCAGAAGTTGAGTTGTCGTATCCGATCGTGCGGAATGCTTCCGCTTGAAGGCCGGGCGAGTGCTGCAACATACAATCGTTATCGATTGAGCCTGTTTTCCAGGTGAAAAACCAGTCATCTGATCCACTTTACGGCACAAGCAGCAAATTGGCTTGCATGGTCTGCGAGGAGTCGTAAATAAGTCTCGATAGGCGATTGCTCAGCTGTTGGGATATAGCAGCACATGGCGCTAGTTTTTGACGTAAGCCAAGATCAAGTCATCAGTGTACATACAGTCGTCAATGTACATACAGGTGCTGTGCCATCTGTCAAAGGACATATACGTGAATCGCAGTCAAAGCGCTTTTAATGGACCACTCGTTATCCGACTGGAAGACAGTGGAGTAGCGTCCATGGCTTCGCTACAGGTGTGACCCGGTTGCGACTGTCGGGCTTGAGTGTCGCCATCCAAAAGAGCACACGTAAGAGATGCTTGCGACACAGTTGCAGCAGCACCGATCCTCCATGTGATATGTAGGAGACTCGATCGACTGTTGAACCCTTGTACGTCTCCGGATCAAACTTGCCACCCTTTAGCCCGTCTTCTGCTTCTTCGACACCTGCTCCTCCTGCTCATTTGGAGCTCGACCAAACAGTTCGTTCAGCTGTTGGGACACACGGATGAAAGTGGTGCGCTAAAGGAGAAAAGATGTACATCGTTCGACAACTCGTCAGTGCGAGCTACGCGCCGTCCACCCTCAACACGGTACGTACGTACCTTGCTAATCTCTTTGAGCTTGCTGGCCCCGACGTAGGTACATGTGGAACGCACACCGCCCAAGATCTCTTTGCACGTGCCGGCAACCGGACCTCGATACGGCACGGTCACGCTCTTGCCTTCCGACGAGCGGTATTCCGCCACACCCCCACTGTGTTTCTTCATAGCCTCCGACGAACTCATTCCGTAGAACGTCTTGAACAGCTTCCCCTCCCTCTCCACTTTGTCCCCACCACTCTCGTCGTGTCCAGCAAGCATACCACCAAGCATGACAAAGTCAGCTCCAGCGCCAAATGCTTTGGCCACGTCCCCTGGACACGTGCAGCCTCCGTCAGCAATCACATGACCATTGAGTCCATGGGCAGCATCGGCACACTCGAGCACAGCAGACAATTGCGGGTACCCCACCCCCGTTTGTTTCCGAGTGGTGCACACGGACCCCGGACCGATGCCGACTTTGATAATGTCCGCGCCCGACAGCAACAGCTCTTCGACCATCTCACCCGTCACGACGTTGCCCGCAATGATCGTGTGCGCTGGAAACGCCGCGCGCACGTTCCGTACGGCGTCAACAAAGTGTTCCGAGTACCCATTGGCGACGTCGAGACAGATGAACTGAATGGCGGAATGGGTCGTCAGGATAGTCGACAGTTTGTCGAAATCCGCGGCGCTAGATCCGGCACTGACAGCGACCGTCGCCATCACGTGTGGATACTGCTGCGCAAAAGCGGTCCAGTCGGATGGGGTATAGTGTTTGTGCACGCACGTGATAAAGTCGAATCGGGAGAGGGCGACGGCCATGTCGAAGGTACCGACTGTATCCATGTTGGCAGCAATAATGGGCTGTGCAGCAAAATCACACATGGGTACATACAAGCATCATACATGGGTACATAGGATCCAAAAGTCAGTTTCTATGAATGACAAAACGTGCCCATTCAAGTGTTAACTCATTGAGAAGCCGAGCAAAAAAACGAGATCGCGACGTACGACGCCCGTCCACGTGCGCTTCGAGTTGCGAAAGTGGAACTCGCGGTGCACGTCCACTTGCGAGCGGCTCTTGAGCGTCGAGCGCTTGGGCCGAATGAGAACGTCTTTGAAGTCGAGACGGACCTCCGTCTCAATGCGCGGCATTTTGACAAAAAGAGCTCTTTTCTGCGACGTGTGCAAATAGTAAACTGACAGTCGCGCGGGTCGTTGGCGTACGAAGGTGCGCTGTGTGCGCTGAAGTAACGCGGCGGACGGGGGCGGAAAAGAACGTTCTTTCCACGTTCGTTGCCACGTCGGGAAACGAATCCATCCATTTGAGCGAAGAGGTCAACCACAGACGGGACGTGGGTTGTGTGTTGACCACGCGCTGAGGTTTTTTCGCACAGCGGGCAGTCTCGCGAGGGAGCTGCGCCGCGAGCCTCTCTATTGGATGACTGAGCTCTATTTGCATACAAAGCGACGTTGATATCACGGACCGAAACGGCGCTGAGGAACTAAAACCAATTCAACGTCACGAGTTATACAATTGAAGGACTATCAGAGCTCTTCTTGCAAAAGTTACATCGGGCAACTCTTCGATGATGGATTGACGTGACGAGCTACACATGAGTTTGGCGTGAGTTAGAGCGACTTGCAGGTTTGATAGCAACGGCAGTGAGTTAGGGACCACGAGAGGCTTTGAGATCGGGACTTTGCGATGATCGAAAAGTCTGTATCGATGCCTGCGACAGGTGCATTGCTTCGTGTTGTTTGTGAAGCAGGAAAAAGCGCTCGAGTGAGAGCTGCTCGGCACGTATACGTGGCGTACACTGTCATTGGCAACGTCAAAGGATCAAGCAAGGCAGGGGAACGTCGCACAAGGTGCGTTCTCACGGAAGTACAGTAAGGAGCACATGATGCAGGCTACCAACGGATATCGCTCGTAACACGCATCTGTCATGTGAAAAGGGTGAATGTGGTGCTTTCGCTGCGTGCAGAGAAGAACGCCTAAACGAGATCCTGTCGTTGCGTGGCAATGCATGGACCAAACATTGTATACCGCATGTGCTCCTCCAAGCATGGAGGGCGTTGCGAGGTCGACGTCATATTGGCCAAAGCGGCGGTACCGTTGTCCCCCTTCAAGCAAAAGCTATAGCCGCTTAGCTTTGCCGACCGGTCTCCTAGCGATGGTAGATACAGAGTCACGTTCAACGAAACGATTTGGGTAGCTTAGATGGTGAACTATGTAGAAGCTTACCTGCTCTGAGGGTGCCGTAATCGATCGCGACTGCCGCGTCGATCGAACGCCACGTAATGACCGATACACGTAGCGTCGACAAAAACCAAGAAAGCTACTTGCACAGATACTTTGCTCGAGCCGGTGCTATCGTGACTTGTGCTTTCGCCTACGGGTATTCCGAGAAGCGAGTCTCTTCGGAGGCGCTCATTGCGTCAACTATATGCGTTGTGCAATATTACGATGAATGTAGCGAAGAGCGAGCTAGATACTCGATTATTTGCATGGTACACAACACCTGAAAGCTACGACTTCGCGAGTTCATCAGGTGTCATACCATTGCAAACGCACCATTCGTGAGTGCGATGGAAGGAGCCTACGTCATTCCGGAAGGGATAGCATGGCACAAAGAAGATGTCTGCTTGAGGTGCAGAGCATCTCGCAAATTCGGAACCAACAATAGACGCTTCGACAGCGCTAGCATCCTTTCTCATCCGATGGAAAGGTAAAGGTTCTGGCAATGTGAGCGACTGTGGGTTCTCGGATGACAGTACCACGAGATCCCATGTCGTGGCATCCACTGCACCCTATCGGCAAGATCGAAACTTGCATGACTGGTTGTTGAAGCGGTCGTGAGGTTCGCAGGGTTTGTCGCCGACAGCTAGTTGCCCGAGTCAAATTGGCAACAACGTTGTGGTAATCGCTTCTTTTACGGGTGCAGCTACGACCCGGCCAGTCGATCGTTAATCATATGGGATCTAAGCACGACGAGCGTGATGCACGCTTAGCAACTGTCCATTAGGGATCCGACGCGAATAAACGAGCTACGCGTTAGCGCTGGGTAACAACGCATATCAATCGCTTGCTCACTCATTTACTATCTCCAGTAGTGCCACCTCACAATAGGTCGTTTTCGACTCACTGTCTTCCGGATTGTCACCTCTGCAAGCCGTCTTAGAAACGAAGTGATGGACGTCTCGTGCATCGGTTTCGAACCCTCAATGTGGGTACACAACCCATCCCGTACTCTTTCGTTCGGTGGCAGAAACGCGCGTACCCCTCGGATCGTACCCCAAAGTCGCCGATCCAATACCGAACAAAAGTGTGTACCCATGAGCTCAGCCGCCGCGGCTAAGACCCGGCCTTACGGCGACCTGCAAGCGACCATCAGTCTTGCCAACTGCTACTGCTTGAACGAAGACCCACAGCACCCCTTTCGCAATCTCTTTTGCGGAGACGAGACGCTGCAGCTCCAGTCGGACGCGGATGGTACGGCGAGCGGCGGTCAACAATCTATCTACGTGTGGTATCGGTTTTCTCCGACAATTTTTGACGGATAATTTGTTGTGGATAAAATAACAATGATGATGATCCGCTAGAGCAATTGATGCTCTATATCGAGTTCCAGGACCCGGTCAAGCTCTTTTCGCTCAATCTTGTGGCGCCTCCGAGCGACCAGGCGCCCCGTGTGATCAAGTTGTTTGTGAACCGAGCAAACCTCAGCTTTTCCGACGGCGCGGACGTGGAACCCATGCAGACGATTGAGCTCGAGGCAAAAGATCTGGTACCGGAGAACGACGTCGAGCTTCGCTTTGTCAAGTTCCAATGTGTCAAGAACATTACACTCTTTGTTGAGACGAACAATGGCGCGGACGAGACGGTCATCTCGAGTCTCAAATTCTTTGGTACTGTCACGATCGTGCTTGTTGTTGTAACTTCAGTTTTTTTGCGGAGGGATCTATTTTTGATATTTTTGACCGAGACGCATGCGATCCGGATCGAGCTATTGTTGACGAATAATGCGGATGGACTGGTGTCGTTGTTGGGATTGCCTCGTTTGCTGATTGTAGGTGAGCCGTTAGCTGGCACAAACATGAACGATCTCAAGAAGATTAGCGACGAGTAAAGACAGACGGGATCGGATGAAGTCACGGCGCCGGTCTTTTTTTCAATACAGTGTCAAGTGAGGGCTGCTGTGTTGCTGCGTATGTGTCAGTGCTGTGTCAATACGTTGCAATAGTGGTTCTTGTCGAGTCGACGCGTGCTGTCGCCTCCAAGTGAAGCTGGAAAGTAGTCGATGCAGCTCGTTCCAGTGTCGATAGGAGCAAGTCGAATGGATCGCGCGACACGTTTCACTTCTTGCATGACAGTGTGCTGGCCTCTTGCCAGCCGTAACTTCCCATGCACAACGCATTGTTTTCTGCAAGGTCAGATAAGCTATCATTGTGCACATTGTTAATGCTTGCTTGTGTGTCGCTTGCTAAATCGTAGCGTGCTGTAGAAGCCGTAACCCGTGGAACGACTTTGCTCCCGACGGCAGACAAGGTGTCAGACCCGCTGGTAGTTCGTTCGGGATGGGTCGCCCACTGACTATCTGGGCATTCTACTCCGCCGCACGCCAGCAAGGGTAGCAGCAACTGACTACGAGGACAAGCTGTCGATTCTAGTGACTGTACTTGTTTATCTTGTGGACGCAGGCTGGTGACTGCACTTGTTTTTCTTGTGGATGCAGGTGAAACTATTGGACTTGTCGATGAACTAAACCGAAGATGTTGGCGCGAGCGAGTTTCCAGTTCTCTTTGTACATTGTGAGTGCACAGCAATTCGTTTGTGCGGCACATGCCGACCTACGCCCGTTCACTGTTCGGACGAATACCGAACCTCGACCAGGTTGTCTACCTCCGACGTATGTCAACGATACAGAATGTGAATATGCCTACAGAATCGTTCAGGTCAAGAGACAAAACTTGGTAAGAACGATTTTACTAGGTTTATTGCCGCTATCTGTACCTTGTCCACTACTCGATCAGTGTTGTGTATTGCAGGGCAGGAATGGAGCAACAAAACCACAAACCAGGATCTTCGGAGACGAGGAGCAAAAAACAACAAGGTCTTCCATCGTGCCGACTGTGAAAAGGAGCATACCGATTGCATGTCGAGGTGGACACAGCATCTGAAAGCGTCAAGTGCGCGGACCCGGGATCAACCGGCAACGACAAAGCTAAACGCAGGTACTCGAGAACGATCAGTAGAGGGCAAGATTGGGGCAACGGACACTTTTCGTCAAAGACGCAGTCTCACATTGCCACAGGCTCGATGTGACAGATGAAGCCTCTGTTGATGCTGAAAGTCGCCTTGCAATAGATGCGAATCGGTGTGCGATGTGGGAAACGTGGCAAAGTGATTGCGACGAGCTGACTTTGTATACTCTGTACCCATTACCAGTGAAGGTGGCACTAGTTCGGAAGACTGGCACCAATGCTAGCAGAGACAGTCAACATCTTTGCGAGCGAGCTACAAGAGTCGCAGATATCGAGGACAGCATGCACCAATAACGATCGCACTCGAAGGACTGAACTACACATGCTCAAAAAAAGTCGAGAGAACCTCACCGAAGAGTAGTGTCTCGCCACGAAAGTACTGCCTCTTGCTTTTCATGACAGCGTTTGCTGTCTAGAGCCCGTTTGCATGATGCTATAACTCCATCCATGTGCGACAGCTTACAAAGAACCCGACTCGTTCAGCGAAGACAATAACATGTCGACAGGTGCTGTTACTGTTCTTGACATGGTTGCAAGACTGGTTACCTGTACGTGAGGCATCAGCTCTAGCCTATTTTTCGGACTTTTGTACGCTCGGAGAAGACCCCTGACGTCTCAACAGCAGCAGACGTCAAGACGTACTGCTGCATTGCATGCGCAAAAGCTCGTGTACTGCACTAATTCTTCGAATCGACAGACGACAAATGGACAGCATGACAACTTTATTGAAAGGCAGGACCGTTGTTCCTCACTGCAACGGCAGTAAATGCTGCCGCACGTAGCAACTGCACAAGCAGAACACGTGCTAGGGTACACGAAAGCGTGACGTCTCGACCCGTGCAATCGATTTAGCTCGAGTGCAGACCAACTGGCAGCGAAGGAGCCTGCATCGCCACACGCACCGCGCCGATAGCAAACACCTCACGTCGGGTGGCTTGGTGCACGATCTCAATGCGCTCGCCCGGACCAGCAAAGAGCACCGTGTGCTTGCCAACTTCATCACCGAGACGCAAAGAGTGCGTCGGCGCTTGACCCGTTGCACCCAAACACGGAGCCCCCGTCGTCGCAAGCGACTTGACAAGCGTCTTGGCAGTGCCGCTGGGTGCGTCCAGCTTGTTCGTATGGTGGATCTCCTCCACCTCAACGTTCCATCCCTCCGCAGGCAGCTTGAACGCAGCAGCTTTGATGAGCTCCGACACGAGCGGCACACCGACCGAAAAGTTCGAGCGGAGGACGACCGGAGCCAGCTTCGCGTAGGCCTCGAGATCGTCCATCGGCAGAGCTCCCGTGGTTCCAACGACCAGAGCAGGCAACTTGTTGATCTTGCCCGCATCCTTCTGCTCACGCAGGTAAGCAATCACCTTCTTCGTGCCAACCGGTAGCGTGGCATCAACGACGACGTCCACACTGTTGAGGTCTGGCGCCTCGACGCCAGTATCGAAACGCGTGACGATCGCGCCAGCAAAACACGCACTGTGGTCCATCAGCTTGTTCAGCTCGCTCACAATGAGCGAGCCCAAGCGGCCGTCGTGGCCGTGCACGGCAATACGCACGACTTCTCCCCCGCAAGTGCTGGGCTTCCCCACCTCGGCAACCGCCTTCTGCTCGGAAGCAAACACCTCCTGGTATTCACGGATGGCGTCCGCAAGACGGCGAGCACCAAGCTGCATGTCCTTCAAGTCGTACCAGGAGAAACTGAGCCGCAGAAAGTTCTTCATGTTGCTGCTGAACGAGGCACCCGGCAGGAACATCACCTTGTGCTTCTCAGCAATGGGCAACAACCTGTTGGCATTCATGCCTTCCGGTAGACGCACGAGCACAAAGTAGCCGCCATCCGGGACCTCAAAGGTCACACCGTCTGGCAAATGCGCTTTGAGCTCCGTCATCAACGCATCCGCACGCTCCCACAGCGTCTGCACCGTCGTGTCCAAGTGCTGCTGCTGCAGACCAGTAGCAATGGCCGAGTGCACAATACCTGAAATCACCGGGTTGATGCCCCCGCTCGAGTCGAGCTGTCCACAGGCTTCAATCTTGTTCAGCAGCTTGTGCGAACCTTGGATCCAGCCAAGACGAAGCGCAGGTGCCAGGATCTTGGAAAAGCTGCCCAGCGCAAGTACTGTGTCGTGCTCGTCGAATGTAAACATGGGCGGCGGCGGCGTCACGTGAGGAAACGACAGCAGCTGGTACACTTCGTCCGCCACGATGACAAAGTTGTACTTGGCACTGAGGTCAACGAGACGTTTGCGTTTCTCGAGCGAGAGCGTGCGACCCGTTGGGTTATGGCACGTTGGGATGGTGTACAGAATCTTGGGCACAATGCCGCGCTGCAGCAGCCGCTCGAGCTCGTCAATGTCCAGCCCGTCTTCTTCCATGCGGATTTGACGCACGTTCACCTTGAAGTCCTTCATGATACTCAGGGCCAAGAAATACGACGGCTCTTCCATGAAAACCAGGTCGCCTGACTGCAGGAACAACGAGCAGATGAGGGCGAGACCTCCCGTCACGCCATTCGTGACAAAGAGCTTCTCGGGGTCCACTTGGTGCTTGTATCCCTTGGTCAAGAACTCGGCCAGGGTGCGGCGGAACTTGGGGTAGCCCTTGATCACGCCGTACTGCAAGAACATGGGGTCGGCCTCACTAAACTTGAGCGTCGCGGCTTCGCGGATCTTGTCCAGCGGCAGCATCGAGGGCGCAGGTTGGCCCACCTTGAAGTTGATCATCAGGTCGGCTGTGGGTACGTCGTACTGGCCATAATCGCCCATGGTTGTGCAGCTGGAGAGTCAGTTGACACAGACGGAAGTAATGACGATGCTGATGCGCTTGTGGTCACCAGGTCAAAAGAGAGAGTGCTCCGGATGGACGACAAAGCGTGTCAAACGTAGTAGCTGGTGAGTGGCTACGCGGGCAGACCTAGACTAGGAAAGCCAAAATAAGGTGTTCGTGGTGTGGTCGAAAAGCGAAGCTGAGAGAGGGTCGATCTTACATGTATCTGCCGACGGCGACGACAGCTTTGTACCCAACACGCAATTAGTGGCGCGCGTTTTGGACGGACGAGGACTGTTTTCGTGCTAATTGTATCGGCAGACCAAATCAGTCTGTGTGGACGTCCGTGACAATGAGTCAGGTCGACAGTCCGTGACAATGTGTCAAGTTGACATTACCTGACAGCTGAGGTTATCAATAGAGAGATAGCACGGACGCCATGTTGTTGACACGGAGGCAACCGCGTGCCGTAACTGTCCATTGACACAAGACGACACTTAGTCATGTTGCCATTTGCATTTGCGTTACCGCCAGCTAGACGCAGCAGCACTTGAACAAAGTCGTCCATATCTTGTTGTCGGGACGTTTTTTTCTGTGCCTGCGCTACCGTCGTCTTCAGAGCAGCACGTCCGAAGCGCTTTGAGCTTCCGGCACTGCTTGTTTCTTCCGCAAACCATCGCGCTACAACTTGCGTGGCCATGCTTGTTTTCGACCGCCTCAAGTGTAAATTCGCAGAAGCGAGACAATCTCCTGCTGACAAATTGGACACGTGGGGTACTCCGACGTGCAGTTGCGGCGATACGTCTCGGCGTCCGCCTCGCAGAAACACAAGTGGCCGCAAGGCACGACGGCAGTCACTGCTTGCTGGTCCTTGCATACCACGCACTCGCTCTTCTCGAGCACCACCGCATTCTTTAGCGCGTGCACATTGCGGTCCACTTCGGCCAGCAAGCTACGAGTCGTCTGCTCCAACAAGCGCTTCTGGTCGGCTACGAGCGCCAACTTATCGTTCATGTGCTCGCAGAGCTGCTCGTACCTCGCCTTGACCGAATTCTCCTGCTCTGCACTTGCCTTCTCAAACGCAAATCGCTTTTCGGCGTCGCGCAGTAGCACTCGAAGACGGTCACCTTCCACCTCTGCAGCATCCAGTTTCGTCAACGAATCGTTGAGCTGGTCGAGAAACTCTTCTTCGCGCTGCTTCCACTTGCGACGAAGCTGCCGCTCTCCTTGCAGCCGTCGCTGCCACTCGGTCTTGATCTCTGCATTGCGCTTCTTGAAGTGCTCAAGCTCGCTGAGAAGGGAAGCAACCGAAGGACTGCTGTCGTCGCTGCCCGTGTACTCCTCGTCATCCTCGTTGTCAACACCACCGCTTTGGCGCACGTTACTAGGTGATGACTGAGCTGCTTCGGAACCATCGTCTGCGCTAGCAACAGGGCGAGCGTCGGTATGCTTCCGCACGGATGTCTTCTTAGCGCTCATCAAAGGTGCTGTCTTGGTCTTAGCAGATCTCGGCGTTTCTTGGTCACCGGCAGGACTGCATGTTTTCTGTCTCTCAGCGGCATCCTTCGCTCGCTTCAGGGCTCGTTGTCGTCGGCGTTGAACCTTCAGCTCTTCTTTCTGCTCGGCAGCAGATAGCCGGGCACGCACTGGTTCCCTAGTCTTTGACTCCGGCGGTCCTACCCAGTGCCTCGTGTTACGGACTCCACATACCCAACAGCTATTTCCACGACTCGGGACCATCCATCGCGCTGCAAATACTTCCGTGAGGTCGACATTTATGTAGCCGTCTTCGTTCTCGCTGTCCTCGCTGCTCGGATTTGTCACCACGGCCATCATCGCTTCAGACTGTACCTTCTTGCCTTTCGTAGTGATAAGTGGAGTATACACCTTCATTGGCGTCTTAAAGAGCGCATTCTCCGAGGCATTCTTGCCAATAATGCGCAGGCCTGCCACCTCACAAGAACCTACGTCAGGTAGCTTGTTCGAGTAGTAGAAAATACCTTCAGTAGAGACGGCAATAATCGCCTTGCCGTCATCGCTTGCCGAAAGTGACTCAAGCATGATGTTGGATCGACGCGACGTACTACCGCCACCGCCGCCAATCTTTTCTAGCTCAAACTCCTGACGAGGGGCTTGGTCCATCGAGCTGGAGGTCAAGTTCGATGAGTCTGGAAAGCAGATCCGGTATGCTGCACCCATGAGTGATATACCGTACGCGTGCTGACCGTGCATGGCAATGATATCCGAGGTATTCGGGATGTTGAAGTGAGACTTCACAGCGTGATTGCCTCCAAGAAATCCAGTGTCATCGGCTTCTGCAGCACAGTCATCGTTGCTCTTCACGGTCGACTTTCTCGTAAATTCGAGCGGCCACATACGGATGTTTTTGTCCTTACAAACTGCCGCAATGGCCAACATGCCCGGGGAGATGCTCGATGGCAGAAAGGCTGCTGTAGTAGCTGTATTTCCTCCAGCGCTGAAATTTTGCAAGTGTTCCCAGATAGGCTCTTGCTGATGTTGTTCGGGCTCCACAAAGCGCCACAAGTTCAGGTAGCCAACGCCAAGACCAGTCAGAATATAATACGCGGATCTGTCAGTGCAACGAAAATGAAATGCAATCAGTCAAGCAATGTACCGGTAGTCGAATGCAACACTACCACAAGCTATCTGCACCTTTTGTTTCTTCTCTCTTCCTGCCCGTTACGGCCAGCGTCGGCTTGTGGAACGTACGTGGTCACATCTGCAAACCCCTACAACGTTCACATACCAGCAGCGCACGCATGTAAGCACGGGACTGCACTTCACTACACCAGAACTTGAACGCACCCGGAGTCTGCCGTTCGAATGGAAGTGCTTATGGCATTGCTGAAAATCGTCATCGTCGCCGTCTAAAAGTAGACTCGTTAGACCATACATGACAACGTACACGCTGACAATACACCTCAAGCACGCACCTTTTACGTTTCGGTAGTGGTTCAAATTGATGCTCATGACAACACGCGGGCCTTGTCGACATCCCACAAAGACATAGCGACCATCCGACGAGATTTTCACTCGCAAGTGAGCACTAGACGCGCCCTGTGCAGACTGCTCGTCAATGTGGCCAAGCAGATACCCGTGGCGATCACTGGAAACACTGCTGTCCATCTCATACAACCGCACCGAGCCATCCATGAACCCAACGACAATGATTTCACCGTCCGGCGTCACGTCCAGCGCCGTTGCCACGCCTTCCGTCGAAAAGCAGATCGATCGCTGTGCAACGACAGGGCACGAAGAAGACGACAGAAACTTGCGCATCGGCTTGGACAGCGACGGTGTAACACCCACAGCAGCAGCAGCAGCAGCAGCAGCACCACCTCCGCTAGTAGCTCCAGCTGTCGTGGCATTCAACACTGTCGGTTGCAACGACAATGCATTTGATGTAGTCATACCGTCCAACAATCGACCGTCCCCTGCATGTGTTAGGTCCACCAACGTCGGTCCAGCGCGCGGCCTCCTCGCTACTGCTCCATTTCGTACCAGCTGACTGTCCTGTTCCCGTCCACTTCCTGGACTGCTCGCCATCGTTGCAAGTTTCGCAGGCGACTGCTTCACTTTGGCCTGGAACGACTGGAACGGCGACTTGGCCGTCTGTTTCGTCACGCTTTTCATCGTCCTGGCCGCTGTCTCTGCTTCGATCTGGTCCAGCGCCGCGCACAACAGCGGCGGCGGCGGCGGCTGACCCGTCCATCTCGTGGCTCGTCCTGTCTCGGTCGTCGTCTCGTCAAACACCAGCGGCCGCTTGGGCGACGGGGCGCCACGTCGCAACGGACTCGACAGCAGCTCCTGACGTCTCCGCAACGGACTCGCCGCAATGCCTGCGCCGCTGCGCGACTTTAGCCTCGCTGGACTGGCTTGGACCGCGCTCCGCGGGGGCCGTACGGGACTTGGCAAGTGCAGCGGCTTAACAGCGTCTTGAGTGCGCGCGGGACTCGCACGTAGCAGCGTCGTTGGGCTTTGCCGCAACGGCGTCGGCCGTCGAGGGGGACTCACAAACGCTGCAGGAGGAGCAGCAGCAGCAGCTGCTGCGCGAGGTCCGAATGGCCGCGCGGGCGAGAGGATACCCGCAGCGAGCGCCGTACGGGCCGAGACGTTGCTCGCGGACGGCCGCGGCGGCGACGCCGATGACGACAGTGCTACTGTCTGCTTCTTCCGCTTCTTGAGCGCGCGCTGCTCAGCTGTGTCCATTGCGTCTGGTGCGGCGGCGTCTGGTGCGTCGGCAGCATCAGCGGCGGCCGCTGCGGCTTCTTCTTCGAGCACGCGCTTCTTCTTGAGCGCTTCGACAATCTGCTGCGCGCGGTTCTTCGTGCTGTTGCGCGACGCGGCCACGTTCTTGAGGATCATTTTCTCCATGTTCAAGCGGTTGCGCCGCACGTGCTCATTGCTACTGCTGCTGCTGTTGCGCGCGGGGGCAGATGCGGTCGTTGCGGTTGTGTGGTGCATGTCAGAGTGATGGTCGCTTGACCGGCCCCAGGGCGCGGGCGTGTGCTCGAATGTTTGGTGCACTTGACGGCTCGAGGGCAACAACGCGCGAGGACCATCACTCTTTTTCCGCGCGCGTTTTTCGGGACGGGTGCAGAGGTGTTGCTCGTGGACCAATCAGGAAAACAAGAAACGAATCCGCGAATGAAAATCGAGCAAGGAGGGGGTAGGGGTAGAGGTGAACACACGAGCGAATCGAAACGCTCCATTAATTGACCGCGCGCGAGGCAAAAGATGGCGCGACTGCTGCTGCTGCGAGTGCTTCTCGCAGCGGTTCTTGCGAGCGGACTGCTACGAGACTACCGCAGTGCCGCTACTGCTGATGACGGACAGTCGTTCTTGGCCTTCTCCGCGACGGATCTGCGCGGCCACGAAGTGTCGATGCGCACGTATAGCGCGTACCCAGTGATCCTCGTGGTGAATGTCGCCAGCGCGTGTGGCTACACGGACACGAACTACCGCGAGCTGCAGGTACGTGATGCTACAATACAGTCAGTTCATAAACCAGTGGATCGTTTGTTCAGCTATTGGGTACTGTTTTGGGTCTGTTTTGTTTTGGGTCTGTTGGTGCGGTGACTGTAGGAATTGTATGAGAAGTACCACGACGAGGGGTTTATGGTGCTGGGCTTCCCTTGTAACCAGTTTGGTGGACAAGAGCCGGGGACGAATGACGACATCCTCAAGTTTACACAGGAGCAGTACCACGTGACGTTTCCGCTCTTTGCCAAGGTACAGCAGGGCTGGGCACGACCGACTTGACAAGGAAGCGACAGGGGGCGGTCGTGATGTGTAACGGTATGCGTGTGTGTACCATGCAGGTGCATGTTAATGGGGACGATGCGCACCCGCTGTTTCAGTTTCTGAAGACGCGCCTGGATGGATTCATGACGACCGACATCAAGTGGAACTTTACCAAGTTCTTGATTGTCAACCACGAACCGGTGAAACGGTATGGCACGACGACGTCACCACTGGCGATCGAACAGGACATTCTGCAGGCGTTGTCCAGTAGCCAACAAGTGAGTGGGTTGGACGATGGCGGTGCGATGGACGGCGATTACGAAGACGCACACGACGAGTTTTGAAACGAGCGACATGCCGCGAATGTGGGTTACTTTCGTGTCGTTCGTCAGTGGATGTGGCCTGACAATTGGGTAGTGATGCTGTTTCTTGGTCACAGGACACAAACATTGTGCCGATGTTGTTTTCGGTGGTAGCAGTTGTTGCGACGTGGGTTTGCAACGGATCGTGTCCCAAAGAGAACGCTGTTGACCATTCGACGACCCAACTAACTGTTTGAAATTCATCTGTCTTTTGTCATGATTAATGGCACTGTCGAGTGGAGCCGTTTGCTGTACGTGCAGGTCACCATACTCGCCCAGCATCCACACCTCATTGCTCGGCCACTTTCGAGTCGTCCGTGGTGGCCACTTCCGTGTCGTCCCTGTTGACGTACTCCTGCATCGAGTCTTCATAGATCGTGACATTCTTGAACCCCAGAATCTGCTCCAGCAGAAACGCCGTGTGCGCCGCCCGGATCCCCGCCTGGCAGTACGTGATCACAGGCTTGTCCTTGTCGAGCCGAAACGTGTCGACGAAAACCTTCTCCAGCTCGTCTTTCGTCTTGAAGCGCCCATTGCGCAGGACGTCCACGCCTTCCGTCCAGTTGAAATGCACAGCACCCGGGATGTGACCCGTGCGTGCGTTTTTGGTAGCGTCTGCACCATAAAACTCGCCCGGAGATCGAGTGTCCACAAACTTGGTAGCACCATCGGCAATTCCCTTCTGCACCGCCTGCAGCCCCACGAGCTTGTGCGTGTCCACTGGCTGGGTCCAGCGTTCGGCTACAATCTCTCTGTCGTTTGCTTCCCCCGTTGCAACCTCGTTGTCGTCAGCTTTCCACTGCTTGAGTCCCCCGTCCAGCACCTTTAGCTGGTCAAGGGGGAACCCAAAGTGCCGAAAGACCCACCACATCCGTGTGGCAAAGTGACTGAGAAAATCGTCGTCGTACAAGACGATCGTCGCGTCTTTGGGCACCTGCAGCGTCTGTACCGCGTCTCGAAACCGCTGTGCACTCGTGACACCCGTCGCGCCAGGCGTCGGGTCTTTGCCGAGCGTGGCGGTCATTGTACAATGAACGGCATTAGGAATGTGGCCGCGAAGGTACGAGGCCGCGTCGTTGCAGTCGAGAAGCAGAATCTCTGGTTGGCCTGAGGTCTGTGCGTTGCGAACCCATTTCGAGTCGACGAGGGCCGAGACCGCACACCGACGGATTGACTGGACGCGAAGAACGGACACAGCCCTTAGCGTGTGGAGCTGAGGAGAGCAAAGACGCAGCGACGACAGCATTGGCTCGAGTGGTGGTTTTGAATTGTAAGCGGCCAATTGGTTCGGTCCCCTTGTGCCCACGTCATCGATCGCATTGACGTCGTTGCTACGGCCTTTCGTTTCGTTTTTGACTGCACCTGTAGTTTCGACACGACAAACGTTGGCAAAGCTCCGAAATAGTTCTTCAGCGATAGTGGGGAATTGAACTTCAACAAATAGCGACGCCCCCCCCACTTCCCAATTTGGGCTCTTCACGCGGAAATCGTGAAAAAATATAGGTGTTTGCCAATAAAAATGTGCTAAGGCTAGGCTATCCATTAGCCATATCTAATATATACCAAAAAAAGTAAAGAAAATACCACTTTCTATTGAACTTCAATAGAAACGCTTGTAAGATAAGTAGGTCACTCCACTTTTTAAACGGACTGCAGTCCCAATTTGTTAATAGCCTGCTCAGGGCACTGCCCTTGCACACGTTCAGCGATCGCTACACTTGCATGCCGTAACGATGACTGTGTTACGGCGCATTCATCGGTATTGCTCCTGTTTCTTCTCTTTTATTGGCCGTCCCTCCCGCCGTCTCCAGAGATCGTCCACCAATCATCAGACGTCGGTCTAAAGCATTTCACAGACATCGCAGTGGGACCCATAGCCGATGGAGTCAACGATCAGGATAGAGAAGGAGAGAAAGATATGGCTACACAACTGGGGAGCGTGGAAATGGACGCTGGAGGTAATTTGAGTCTGACCGAGACCACGTCGAATGTGCCGCTGGGGCTACGACTGCGGCTGCCGCTGGTTGCGGGGTTTTGTTTGCGTATTTTGGAATTCAACCCATTGCTGGACCCACGTCAGCGATAGTGCTCAAGTTAGGTAAACAATAGAAGTATACGAGGGGGGCTAAACATTGCAGTGGGTGGAGCCATAGCCGGGGCGATACGAGAGAGAAAGGGAGAAATTGTGCTCTATAGATTTCGTTGATGACTGAGTGTGTAGCGGAGCTCCACAACTCCTTAAGTCTGAGGAAGACTTAGCGCTCAAGGAGCAACTTTGGCTCAAAGGACCCGACTCAGACAGTCAACAAGCTCAGATCGCTTACGGTTCCTGTTCCAGGGGGACCAAACGATTCAAAAGAATCACAGCACAGATTGCTCAGGAGCAGCTAGCTTCACAGGTTTTGCTAGCTTCTACCGATCAAAGACGCCTCGTAAGGCACGTGTCTTATGTTGATCAAAAGGGGAACCGAAATTTATATCTTCTTTTAACCTAAAAGAATACCTTATAACAACGTAATTAACCGATTCGCTAATGTCCTAAATAAAACCTCTCAAAAAGTCTCGTAATCAATGGTTGATAGACAATGGTCTTCAACAATTAAAACTGTGTTCCAATATCACTTAAATGGATCCCCATCTCTTGTGTGCACCACACCTATTGTCGACTACCAGTCGACGTGTAACACCATTACACCCTTGTCCACCAGACTGACGATATTTCAAAACGTCAATCGAAGTCTTTCCTCGAAGAGGACTGTGTGTGTGCGCTTTGACCCCGAGGTTTAGCAAAACACGAAACATTATGGCACCGCCACCCCATGAGTTCCCGACTCTCTCTTCCTACCTCAGCATTGATGTGGAGGAGGACTATGGTAGTGATACCGACGTCCTTGATGAAGAAAGGACAGTTTCCGACTCACCAGTGGAAGCGGTAACGCCCCATACTGCACCGAACCCATTTGCCGAGCGGGGTGAAATGACCGCGCTAGTAGCGCAGCATCATGAAACAGATGGAAATGAACGCATCATCACCAACCCGCTCGATGAGCAACAGGAGTTAATTATCCAGCTAGAGGAGCGTGCTCTACGTCGCACTCATAATCAGACGGTTATTCGAAACCAAAGTGGTTACGTGTTTTTAACACCTGACGTGGAGCAACGTCTCCGACAAACGGAAGGCCGTATCCTTGCAATATGGTCCATTGGCCCAGAGACTACGTTGCCAGAAGACATCGCCTTGCTCCAGTCCTTACATGAGAGGTATCTCGAACCTTTCCTGACCACCCAAGGTCAATACAAGCCACACCTTGAGGGCTTGGCTCGTAATATTTCGTTTCGACCGATTAATGGCGTAACCATCTTGTTTTTTGCCGGCGAGGTGCCTGAAGAGGAGCACAATCAGTTCATCCGTTGGGTATACCGCACGCGGCATCTCAGCAGTGTCCCATTACTGAGGGCAAGTACCAGTGTGGCTGACGTTTGTCCTGGGTCGGAAGCTTCGGTACGAATACGCCAAGCTCAAGGCCAGAATCCAGTTGCGTAAACGTACGCGCTACGCTTCGGCTACGCCGATAGCCACGGGTTCCGACCCTAAGGCGCGGAGCAAGCCGCTACCTCCCACCATTATTGGTGGGAAGCGTCCTCAGTCGATGGAAGACCCTTGCCACGATGTTCTTAAACATCCACGGCGTATGGGCAATCCTGCCGAAGGGGTATCTTAAACTCCCACGAGTTCTCCGACTCCGGGTACCCTCGCCACTTCACCAGATACTGGTATTGACCCTGACGACGACGTCGTTTCAGGAGTCGCTCCACATGGAACTGGCGTTTCCTTTGCTCATCGAGCGGCGTCGGTCGTGGTCGGTGTACCGAGGGAGGAGTATGAGAAGGTGCTTCTCGAGCTGAGTGGTCTCCGTGAGACATTTGGTAAGACCCAGAGTTCGTTTGACGCGATGCGAGCCCGTGTTGAGGCATTGGAGCTGGGTCCAGCCCGTGTCCAGGCATTGGAGATGGACCAAGCCCGGATGGAGGCTCAGATTGACCTCCTGATTCGGATGCAACAGCCGATGGCAAAGCCAACCTACGCTATGCAAGCGCCTCCAAGTTCACGTGAGACGGATCCCGATACGGCTTAAGTAAACCAACGTAGAACACAGGGTGTGTGCGCAGTTTGTGCGGAAGGTTGAGCTTATACGCAAGTCCCTTCTTAGCGACGACCGTGAATGGTCCAATGAAGCGCGGACGCAACTTTGTCTTGAATACGGCAGACACTACATTTGTAGGTAAGTGAATATTATTGAGTAGAACTTGGTCTCCGACCTCATAACGTTCAATACAACCTCTTCCTTTAGCATCGGCTTGTACCTTCTGCTTGTCTTGGCTATCAGCCAATGCGTCACGAACATGTCGTAAGACATTCAATCGCGTTGCGAAAAACTCGCTTACCTGTTTTTGAATAGTAGCAGGGATGATATTAGCAAGCTGATCGGCCATCTCTCCCCCACCAAGCCCTGAATCACGTAGTGGTAGCGTTAGCGGAACTCAAGGGTTTGTGAGACCATTCACGAAGAACGGTGTGTAGGCGGTGGAGGCATGCACGGCGTTATTCAACGCAAACTCAACGACAGGGAGCATCGAACTCCGACGCTTAGGCATTTTAGCGCGAAAACTGCGCAAGATGTCACTGATGATGCGATTCACTCGCTCGGTTTGACCATCAGTCTGCGGATGATCCGCTGTAGCAATGTCCAAACGTGTGCCGAGCACCTTGAAGATGAATTTCAAAAACTTCCCAGTGAAGCGAGGATCTCTATCAGAGACATTTGCCAACGGCAAACCGTGTTGTCGAAGCACTCGATCGATAAACAGCGTAGCTGTACCCTCATTATCGATAAAATCCGGCACCGCCGCTAGATTGGCCATCTTGCTCAAACGGTCAACAAATACCACAATACTCGTATTTCCATACGAATCCTTCGGTAATCCGAACAGGAAATTCATGCTGATGAACTCCCAACACCCCTTGGGTACAGGCAAACTAGCCAGCGGCGCGGCCGCGTGAGGTGATGGTTTCACCCGTTGACACGTTTCACACGTACGCACATATGTGCTCACCCATTTGTATAGTTTGGGCCACCAATATCATTGGCTAACTGAGCTGTAGTTCTTCTCACGACCGAGATGGCCACTCAACGCAGTACCATGTGTCTCATAGAGGATCCGATACTTCAACTCCTTATCATGAGGGACAACGATGCGAGGGGTACCCGCAACATCTGTGCTATAGCATGACTGGCCTTAATCGATGGAATATCGATGTAGCCTCGCACGCAATCGGTACGACAATTCTATGCCTGAGTCCTTGAACTCCTCGCTCCCTAGAGCACGTAGCAGAGCTACACAATGTTCATCCTTGGCATAAGCCGTGCAAATTAGGTCCGTGACCGGCGACGACAGAGTCGTAACATGAGCAAGCTCATAGTCAGGCCTGCGTGACAACGTATCCGCCAAAGCATTCTGCTTGCCCGGCTTATGCTTCACCTCGAAGTTGTATTTGGCAAAGAAGGAAAACCAACGAGCCATTCTCTGAGAGAGGTGAGGCGACTGGGTCGCAGTGCGTAGTGACGCATGATATGTATAGATCACAAACGGCTTAGAGCCAAGAAGATGAACTCTGAATTTGACGAGAGCATACTTCATTGCAAGTAGCTCTTTGTCATGAACAGGATAGTTTTTTTCTGCAGCCTTCAGCTACCGAGAATCAAACGCAATGACGCGCTTCCGTCCATCAGAATCTGTCTGTAATCGAGCGCTGCCAATGACAAAGTCTGATGCGTCACAGACGACACTGAAAGATCGATCAGGATCAGGCAAAGCCAAGATTGGCGCATGAAGCAGACTCTCCTTTACTGCTTGAAAAGCATCATGCTCGGTGCTAGTCCAGCACCATTGCACATCCTTTTTAAAGAGATTGAATAATGGCCGAGCCATGTCTGCGTAATTAGCACTGTAATTGTGTAAGTAATTGGCAAATCCAAGCCACTTACGCAAGTCCTTTTGGTTCTTTGGAACCAGCCAATCAACAATGGCTTTTACTTAAGTGGGATACGCTCTAAGGCCTCGCTTACCGATAAAGCACCCTAAAAAGATTATCTCTTCTGCACCAAAGATGCGCTTAGACGCGTTGGCGTACAGCTTGTTCGTGCGCATGCACTCGAGCACCGCTCGTAAATGGTCAATGTGATT